TACACCCGAAGAGTTAGCAAGCGGGAAATTGAGATTGGACCTTAATTTACCAAATTCAGCCATAATTCAGGTCATTATCACTTTCCATCATGAAACTGTGGAAGCAAACTTGTGTGCAGTGAAGTATTTTTCAAAATCTCCAACAAAATGAAAAACAAAATTAATTCTCACCACTTTTGGATTCATGTTGAACGTTTCAGCGAAATGAGTAAGCTTGTAACTGATGCATTCAAAGTGACTGGCAACGATTTATATACCATGTTTTTGCCTTTATCAAACAATGGAACAAGACAAAATAATCAATGGCCAGTTTTATCTTTGTTTTATTCCATTTGAGAGACGAAATGCTATCAGACGGAAAACAATTCTCTTTCAGTGGCGCTAATCAAAACCGCTAATGAAACAAATATAAAAATAAACACTAGAATCGCAGCAAATAATTGATCTTTTTACTTGGGGCTTACTTGGCGTTGATAAAGAATTGATAAATTGGAACAAAAAACCGATCCATTCACGAAAAAAAGTAAAATAGATTCTAGAAAGAAAAATGAAACGAAAAAAAGTAAAGCCGCTTTTTATTCCCAATTGTTAGTTAGAACGACTATCGAGCAGTTGAATGTTATATCCATTTCTTAATATCTTAAAGCGAGTAAGTTTTATAGAATGTTCTGTGGTCTATTTATGTGACAACAGTAAAAAACCAACATTTTATCATTTTTAGTCTAAATACCCAAAGACGTCATCATCGTCTTCATATTTATTTTCAAATTTTTTATCAATGACTAACAGGTGTTTTGATTTGGAAAGGTAAACACGATTAATTTACTGTCGACACTAAACAAGCCCCAAGCGAAAAAATCAATTAACCAACGCGACAAGTTTTGACCACATAACATTTGCACCACTTGTGGTAATATTAGAGCATCAATGACCACCGTGACACTGACAATGAAAAGTGGATTTATGTCGAATAGTTGGACAAGATTTTGGGGAGAATTGTCATTCTGCGTCACAACGTTTTGCTTTCAAACACAGAAGAGAATAAAAAACACAAAATATTTGCGTTTAAAGATATTTTTATTTAAGAAAAAATGTGTAAAATCAAAAATCGTGTCAAAAATGTGTCCATCAAGAAATCGGGGCCTCTATTTTAGTACAAATAGCGATAAGCATATCTGGTTGGGTTCCATTGGTATCGAAGAGGTGAATCGTATGCCAAGACTCTGCTGGTGGCTGGTACGAATGAAGCAGCTGGTGCAACTGGTGGTACAATAAGACGTCCGGCTTCGGTTCCACAGAATGGATAATTCGGGCATTTGACTGGGTCTACACCTGGTGGTATTCTATGGGAAAAATACCAAACATTCATTTTTTAAACAAATTTCTTCTGAAAATGTTTGCATGATTGCTCACAAGTTCTATAGGGAATTTCTAAGTAAAACTTACTGCAATGTACGTGTGCGATAGTAGTTGTAAGCGGGAACGGAAGCTTCATAATAGGTTGGAGCGACTCCCAATCGGCTGGAAACGTAGAAAGAACGCTTATCCCGATTTGTATTATCGATTTCTGCAGACACAGCTGCGATGAGAACGAAGAGAAAAATCTGCAGAAAATCAAAAATTTATATTTATTAGTTTGATCAAAAAACCAATTCTTATCTTAAATGAAAATATATTTTATTGCACTTTTTCGAATTTCTTCAAAGAAAAAAAAAACTATTTTCAACAAAGTAAAAAGAAAACTTCAATTTAAATTGACTCTTACCACTTTTGGATTCATTTTGTTCGTTTTAGTGAATTGAATTGTCTTATTTGGCACGTTACTGCACTGATGTATTTAAGGTGACTGGCAATGGTTTATATACCATTTTGTTTGCTTTTATCAAACAATGGAACAAGCACGTCTCATAATAGACATTTACGCGTCAAAATAATCAAGTTTTGTCTTCGAACTTGTTTTAATTGTGTTTGAAAACAAAACGTTGTGACGCAGAATGACAATTCTCCCCAGAGGCTCGTCCAACTGCTCGATATAAATCCACTTTTCATTGTCAGTGTCACGGTGGTCATTGATGCTCTAATATTACCACAAGTGGTGCAAATGTAATGTGGTCAAAACTTATCGCTTTGGTTAATTGATTTTTTCGCTTGGGGCTTGTTTGGTGTTCAAGTAAATTAATCGTGTTTACCTTTCCAAATCAAAACACCTGTTGATCATTGATAAATATACGAAAATAACTATATGATAATGGTCATCCCAGAAGATGAAAACAAACAATTATTAAGAAAAAACTGAAAGTTGAGAAACGACTGTAGTGGATCTTCTCTATGTCATATTATCTATTGCTAGATCTATCGTCTAATGGATGTTATACTAGAGAGTCTAGTATAATCGTTTGGAAGTTTTGCGCTCTCGGCCAATTCATCTTTAAATGGTAATTTAATTAATCTCATTCAACAAAAAATGATAGGTGATCTATATTTCACTTTAAATACACAACTAGTTTGGCATAGTAACCAACGAAATCATGTGACCTGTTACAAATACGGTCGATTACGTTCGATAATGCACCGGTTTGTCACTTGTTGTTATAGACATCATGTCATTTAGTTTGAGACATAATGGTGACAAAAGAAGCTGTATCATAGACTGGACTTTCCATTGAATACGCACATGCACGCACACCTGTTGTACACAACTGATAACATTTCATTGAAGATTCGGAGGATTGTTTGATAGAATATTATACGAAACGTCGATACAAAACATTTGACGCAAATATTTCTATATAAAAACCCCCGCAGATTGTTCGTATGCATCAGATCAGTTCTAACGGTGCAACTAGCCATTATTTATAAATCGTGTTTTCTAAATTGAAAATCAAATTTCGTCCAAGATGTTCTCAAAAGTGGTAAGCGAATAATAAAATTCAAATCGAAAATTTCGATTCAAAAAAATCATTTTTCATTTTCTAGATTTGCCTTGCTGTTTTCATCGCTGCCATTTGTTCAGCTCAAGAGACAAAACCTGAATTTTATCCAGCAGATGTTGATCCACTTTTGTGCCCCAATTATCCACACTGTGACAACGCTTTGTTGCACGGAACCGAAAAAATCGCCGTTTTGCCATCATACCAAAAATCGTTGTTCCCTGGCTACCGTTACTACACCGTCAACGATCTAACACAGGTTGCTGACGAGTATGTATTTTTACTTTTCACATTTTATTTTGAAAATTCACACCATCATTCATTTAAAATGAATCATTTTACACAGTTACATTCCGGCCAGTCGCTATCTCTATTCACCATACGCTGGTTTGAGATCATACATCTCGCCGTTCGTGCGTTATGCCACTGCTACAGCCACTCCCATTGCCAAAATCGCAACTGTTCAGAGAGACGTAATAAGCGCACCAGTTTTGTCAGTCGCACCAGACGCTACAATTGCACCAAACAAAGTTGAAACCACCGTAAAAGGCGATCCACTTGCACCAATTGCTCCATTTGCAACATTGCCAGGATTAGCCTCACGATTGTTTGTAGCCAGCCCTTAATTTCAATTGGATTTGATTTTCACTTCACATACACATGCTTGAATATAATCTTCTTTCAAAAATGTTCTTTTTTACTGTTTTCAATAAAAGATAATTGATTAAAATGCATTTTCTCTTGTTTTTTTTTTTTGTAATTTAAATGGATTTTTATGGTAAAAAGTCTCGATAAAAGCAAACAAGCTATGGAAATTACTTTTAACTCAATTTACACTTGATTTTCATATTAGCCCAGTGAACCGGAGCTTGGCTTTAGAATAAAATACCGGAAAATACAGTTTTTAGTACATGGACCTTTATTTACCACATCGAAGCGGAAAAATACATAAAATAAATTATTACATAGCTATTATTTCAATACAAAGTGCATCAAAACATTTTTGACTTGCATATGGAGACAATTCACGTCATGGGATCTTGTTATTGCCTTCAATCATCGTGAGTGCCACTGGAAATGCTGGACTGGATTGGGAGTGGATTTTCTTGATGGCAGTGGACTAGGCACTGGAGCAACAACATTCGCAGCTTGTGAACGTCGAAGAGTCCAAATTAAGCGGAGTGAAAAGTAGTAAACGAATTCGATGATGCTCAATAATGATACTCCCAAAAATAAACCAAGCAAACCGCCACAAATGGCCAAAAAATCGGTAAATGTATACAGCGGCGATCGTTGTAGTGTTGTAAAGAACGCTTCTTTAAATACAATCTCCAGAGTTGTAGATACAAATGATTCTGCGCTGCTGAAATTAAATTCGTCTTCATTAGAGTGTATCTATATTCTATAAAAGAAATTGGGAATTTCTTGGGTCTCCGAAGTGCAGGTGGATGAGAAGAAAAGATCTATCACGATAAAAACGATATTTTTTTGAGAAAAAAGTCGTCGGTCATTTCTTTTCATCCATCTGCCTAAGTTATAGTTCAAGAAATTCATTATCGATACATCTTAGTCTTTATCATGACTTGTTATCGATATATTTTGAGATTAAATTTCATTCATACTCAGATATATCGCCTGACTGCTCCACATCGAAATTGTATTCGATTCGCGTGCAGGCCGGTTTGCAATTGCACTTTTCGCGAAACTGCTTGACTGTTCGATTTTTTATACCTGCAATTAGTTCAATGCCAAATAGATTTAATCCGGCGTTACGTAAGCATTTAAGGCCGTATACACCGCAAATTCTTGTTTCTGCGTCTCCTACGATAAACAGTGAATAATGAAATTCTTGATAAAATGAAAAATACTAATTGAAATCTATGATTCTCATTTACTTGGCATCGAAAATTTTACGCATTCACACTCAATGCGAGTAAAATTAGCCAGACATTCCAATTCACAATTATTTTGGGTGTACATTTTATAGAAACGTAATTTTCGCTCATTTTCAAAGAAACACTGGCGTTGGATTGGACTATGGTCGCGTAAATCACTTGATGTGATGACCAATTTCGGTTTGATTTTGATTTTGTTAAATTTTAAAGTCTGGATATGGTGTGCTTGTCCAAGAGTTTTTATCGAGTCACCGGGATGAGTAAAATAAACTCCAAATCCAACCAAATAATTACAATCTATATTGACGTCTTCTTTGAGATGTTCCAATATAAAATCCAATATTCCATATGCATGTGTACCAAACGTACGATATGGGTATTCATTTTCATTCCGTTCACTTTGGTAACCATTATCCAAACTCCAGTGTGTGATATTTGGATTGTTTGTTACAGTTTTAAATCCATTGACCACACTAAAATGGATTCATATATTAAACTCTTTTATCAATTATAATCCAGATTTTACTTACGCATCTGTGTACATTTCTCGTGAGTTAATTGCATTGAATGCAAAACAAAAACCTTCTTTTGTAAAAATCGGGGAAAACTTATCATTTCCGGCAATTGGTAAATTTTCCCAAAAGCCAAGTTTAATTGTAGAATTGAGAGATGGAGCAATATCTTCAATGAATTTATAGATTAAATCATCGTCGTGTATTCCTTCTTCTCTTCTTGTAGAACCACAAACTTGGTTATACGCATGCAATCGGTTTTTGCTAAAAGAAAATCAAATTAATTCCATTTGAAATAAGAGTAGATTGAGATTGAAATTATTAAAAGAATAGATTGTTTTGATTTATACTCATCAGTAGATAGTGACTCGTTCAAGTTTAGCGACCTGATATCAAATCTATTTTTTGAAACTTTAACTTGTGGGCAGATCATCACGGTAGGAAACGGAATGGATGAGATGGGTGTTTCGACTTCGGAGAAGACCATTGTAATCGGACGTTCATCCCACTTTATCCAAACTTTTTGAATCGAAAAACCACACAGCCAAAATGACACACCGAATGCAAGTATCCAAAAAAGTCTATTTTGAAATAAAAATGATAAATTTTTGAGAAAATCGTGATTAAAATAGCAACCTTTCAGTCCAATGTCATCGACGCTCGGTGAAATATTGAACTCCATGAGTGCTGCTGTTTTGGCAGAATTCGACGAACAATTCGCGTATTTTCAATGGAAAAAGTGACATATTTTGTAAAGAATCAAAACTTTGTTGCTTTACAAGTGATAGTGATGATACGCGGTCAATGTAAAATTCACACAAAAAACTAAGAGATACTACCCATTGAAATGAAATGTTGAATCTATTTCACTCTTTTTCATTGCATACGTAATTGAATTTGAAATTAATTAATCAAAGGAGTCCCTAATGAATATTTCATTTGCATTCCTCATTTTCAATGCAACTCGATTTATCTGATAAATCCATCATGATGAATTCAATTATGAGCGCAGTTTGATAGGATTATTATGTCAACAATTTGACAAAGCCGTGTGCAAAAATATGAGCTTTCAATAGTCACCGGACTTCATTTACCGTTTAAATAACACTCCTTGTTTCCTCCTTCGTACTTTATCTGGATGATTCACTGTAAAAAATTTAAAACATTCGTCACCATAACATCATTTTCCATAACACGCCAAGCTCTTAGGATATCATTTCATTAATTTAATTGGCTCAAGAGAGACAAAAAGAACATTCACATTAGAATTAAAATTGATTAATTAAATGGGCGTGAACTAAAGATTCGCGTTTTGGTCATAACATTAATCATTTGACACGTCTAATGAAGATTAGCAAGAAAATGAAAAACAAACGTATCAAACGAAGTACATGTTCGGTACAATTATTCTTTATTAAGTACAATTTTTAACAAAAAAAAGTTCGATTCAGGCAAAATCATATTTGGAGTGGTTGAAAACTCTTCAAAATTTAGTAGTTGGCAAAGAACAATTTCGGTGAGAATCCGGGCAAAGTTGCATATTTGGCAACTGGAACGGCCGAAATATATGGAGAAGCATAACGCACAATTGGAGCGGTATATGATGGAATGACATAACGGCTAGCTGGTATATATCTGCAAAAAATAAAACCAAATACATAAATTGGTAAAAACTCAAATTGCAAAATCAAAAGTAACATACTCATCAGCAACGTGTGTTACATCGTTGACGGTATAGTAACGGTTGCCAGGGACCCATGTTTTATGAACTGTTGGCAGAACAGCGATTTGTTCAGTTCCGTGCAATAATGCGTTGTCACAGTTTGGATATCCTGCATGAGAGATGAATCAAATGAGAGGATCAATTAACATTGATCATTTTTGGAAAAAAATCAGTTGACTCAAATGAGATGAAAATTACCGGGGCATGCATCAGGGTCTACGTTGGCTGGATAGCGGTCTGGTTTCGCCTCCTCGAAAACGCTGACTTTTGCAGTTGGATGCAATAAATCATTGTTACAGTTCGGGTAGTCTGGACACAATTCAGGGTCTACGTTGGCTGGATAACGTTCTGCTTTTGCTTCTTCAGCTGAACAAGCGGCGGCGATGAGAACGGTAAGGAAAATCTATAAAGATTATGAAAAGATTGAATTTTCACCGAAATTTTGTTCGAAAATGTGATTTTCTCTCTTACCACTTTTGATAACATTTTGAACGAAATTTGCTTTTCAAACGAGAAAACACGATTTACAGACAATTGCAAGTTGCACAGCTAGAGCTGATTTGATGCATTCGAACAATCTATCGACGTTTTTATACATATGTGATTTCATTCACCTCTCATATTTCGATCGTAGAATGGCGTGATGCCCCAAAGGTGGTTCACTCTTATCAAAACTGCTTTCGAAAAGTTATCAACAGTATTGATAGAGTCGAATTAGCGTTAAAACCTGGTGGTTCCCATTTTGTGTACTTTCAATTGATGACAATCACTAATGTTCCAGTTGTGGTTGTCAATTTTTAATTTTTTCTATTGCCCGGTGTTTTTCCAGACTAATACGCGTCGAAATATCTTTGGGCAAACATAATCGAGGGCCTGCCTGAAAATAAAAGTGAAGATTCAGAACGTTGATGTGGAATGATGCTACAGGCAGTCATATTATGGCGTGTATGGTATAATTAATGACGTATTCAATTGACGTGTTGATACAAGTATCTTTTGCTCCAGTGGCATTTAATGCGAAGCAAATAGCGTGGGTTACTGCGCAACGCGCATTTCGCAGTAATCTATTTTATTCCGAGAATTTTCATTATTGATCTTTCCATTTTATTGATTTTCATCATTTATATTGACTTTTTTTCTGTGCAAAATGTGCTGCAACACATGAAAGACAGTCCAACAGCTAAATGATTTAAATATAATTTATTTTATTTCGAAAGCAAATAGTCTGGATTGCGATGTGATCGAAAATATTTATTTTCCATGAATATAAAATGCCATTACGATGTAACTGCAAAAAAAGACATTATAAGTTTATTTATTGCACTGGCTCTTTTATAGGTATACGCGTCCACAAAAATCGCATATAAGGCTTTTACGGTTTAATAACAGTATCTTTATTTTGCGAGAATTATATCTAGATAGTCTGTCGTTAGGTTAATATCGAAATCAATTCTGATATATATCGTTCGTGAAAAATTCAACCATGAGGATAACCAGTATTTTTATCCTTTTTATTATCTGTATGGTGCTGATTGTGGTATGTATTATTTGTATTAATTCTACGTTTTTATTTTCTTTTTTTCAAATAATTGAGTTTGTTTCGATTTAATTTCGATACTTTCAGAGCGTCATTTCAGCGCCTTGTGGAGGGGGAGGAGGCGGAGGGCGAAGATATAGACGCCCCAGGTACAATCTTGAAAAGATCGATAAATTAAGTAAATGCAACAGGATTAGAAAGGCGCGAGATTCCGGAAGACAATATATTTGGATTTTGTCATCTGGATATTTCAGCTCATCTGGATGACGTTAGGCGATGATACGGAGTGAAAACAATAGAAGTGATTGTTATAGTTATGGTAGTATTTTTAATACAATACAAATTAAATCAAGACCATAAAAATACTACCATAACCAGTGACCGGTTCGCGCATATTTCTATACTTACCTAAATACGCTAGGTAGCATATTCGCAAACGCAACCGACGCATCGCCGTTCACTCTATATGAACAATACACATGTTCGTTTATGCAGACGACCGTGCGCATACAATATAGCTTGAATCGAATGGCGACGGGTGCGTTGCGGCTTGCGTCTCCGCTATGCTTAGCATAGCTATCAGGCATAGAAATATGCGCAAACCGGTCACTGACCATGACTATAACAATCACTTCTATTGTATTCACTCCGTATCATCGCCTAACGTCATCCAGATGAGCTGAAATATCCAGGATTGGATTCGACATCTTTTTAAACCGGATGCATTCAATTTTATTATTCTTTTTCATTTAATAACAAACATTTTTTAAAACTCAATAGATATCCATATTGGTATTACGGCTGGCCACCTCCACCACTCCCTGCAGCAAATACATCTCCTCCTCCTCCTCCTCCTCCTCCTCCTCCTCCTCCTCCTCCTCCT